TGCTCCAGCCCCCTGATCATCTTCGTGGCCCTCCTCTGGACCCCGTCGAGCAGTTCCATGTCTTTCTTACATTGGGGGCCCCAGAGCTAAACACAATCAATCATAAAGATGCTATGAGAACTCCTATACAGAAGAACAGAAAGTGGCCAGCATTTTCCTATTTTTTCTGTATTATTTTCTCTTACTTGCTTGCACCTCTAATCAGATTTTTTTTTTGCCCTTTTCTTAAATATGCTCTACAAATCATTTGCAAATACAGTAATTTCAGGACCACTAAGCAGTCGGTAATACCAAATTTCACCAAGCTACTAAATAAACACCAGCCTTAACACTGTTGCAATTAAAGGGAACCATAGCTAACAGTTAATATAATTATTCTCTTGTGGCAACACCTTTCTGAGATGACTGGGGATAACTCACAACTCTATATAAAAACACATCTATACATGTAAATATAGTGTTTCCCACCTGGAGCAGGAGAAAGTTGCTATTTACTTCAGGCAGAAAAGAAGGAGTCATTTGGAGTGCTGGTTTTGACTGTACTTACAGAGTACAGACACAGCTTGGAAAAGTTGGGGAAAAAACCCTATTCTAGGGATGATTTCCATATTTCAAAGTTTGACATTCCTAATTGGGAAGAAAGCAAAAAACCCCAACATTTTCAAGACTGTCTTAGAAAGGAAATGGCTTCTGGAGCTCAGGTTGGTGAACTGACAGGGCTTTCTGGTGCTCTGGGTCCATGGAGGTTCAGAGTCGTAGGATGGGCTGTAGGAATATCCATAACTTCTCCAGGAGACAGGGTACGAAGCAGAGCAGTCTCTAAACACATCTGCTTGCCACTACATGGAATATTGACCATTCTATTACAAGTCTCCTATTAGCATTACAGGCTGATATTGATTGTTATGAGGAGTTTCAGCCTTGATGAAACTGCAATGGAAATACTGTCTGGTTATAATTTTTTCCTGGTGTCTCTTTCAGTGAATATTTTCCTTTTTCTGCTTTTTGCTTTGATCACTGATACTAATGCAATTCACTTTACTACTGAAATGCAATTAAATTCTCTCTTTCTTCCTACTAAAATTAGCACTGAGATTTTGTGACTGGACCATTCATAGATAGCGTCAAGTTATATACAAAGCCTAAACATGGCCATTCAAAAACTGTTTTCACAAACTATCAGATTACCTTTTTCTATGCCATAATGGTTACTGGGTAAAATAATCTTTGTTTTCTGTCATTCTTACAGATAAAGAAAGTATTTTTTTTTATATTCCTTAAAAATTAAACCTTAAAATATGTAATTTTTTTATGGAGAAAGCAACATAATGTCTTTAAAGAAAGCCAAGACAGAACTACAGAAAGTAATCTGACACACAAAAATGGACATTGTGCAGTAAAAAAATAACGAGGGTAAATTAAATTCTCATCTGCCAAGGAAAGGAAGTAGAAACTGAGTCACAACGATAGGAGAAGATAGTGCATAAAGCCCCTTGAAAAGCAGAATGGCGCATAATTGTATTCTTAATTATAGAAGTAAAAAATGGCATGGGCCTTGGGTACATGATAAGTTGTGAATTGAAGACAAAAATAACAGACCTGATAAACTCAGTCTTAGTTAATAAAATAACTATGTAGTCCAATAAAAACAGAACAATGGCATTTATCCAGTTACTTCAGTTCACAGCCTTGAGACAAGCTTCATTTCATTTTCTAGCTATCTAATATTAGTCATTTAGGCTGTTATTTAGTGTTAGTCACTAGAGACACACCACACTAGAAGGTAATTTAGACCACTATCATAACATTAAATGGCTGAAGAGATAATTCAAATTCCAGTGAGTTAAAGGCTGTATAGAGCTAGGGTTGCTGCTTTTCTATGTTCTGAGCTGGACTCTTTGAAGTCATTAGGGATTCATGGATTTGGCTTCATGTCTTTGAACTTTGATCTGAAAAGTGCAGGAGCAGAAAAGTGACTGACCTTCTGGATGTGGGATTCAAGGCAATCACGGGATTCAAGGCAATCACTCCTCCTGCACTTGTGCACAGGCCAGATTCACATTACTCTCAAATAAACTAAAAATATTTATAGTGCTGTGGCCACAGCCTACTCCTCTAGTGGGAAATTCTGGAGGAGATTTGAAGTATTCACTGTGCATTTCTTCTCTTACAGAAATAAAGCATGACATTAAAGAAACTACTTCTAAATCATGTGAAAAATCTATGTAATTCCAGAGTTTAAAAGCATAAAATGGAAAGAAATTACATAAATTCACATTTAGTAATATATATTAAATATTTAACTTGTAGAGCACAAGTTATATCAGAGATCACTGGGTGGAGGCAGAGAAGAGAGAGGAAAGGAAAGATAGGAACGTCAATACTACATATCTTTTAATGCAGTGGTCACAACTAGAAAAGAAACCTGATAGAAGAGACCTTTCAGTTTAAAGAATCTGTGACAAGGTCAAATGATGAAAAGTTGAAGCTGAATGCAAATTTTTACTTGGAAGGTAATTACACCTTGGAATAATATATCAAGAATTTAAATTTAAACTCAGGTTGGATGCTTTTTTCCAAAAAGATATTTTCTCTAACCCCCAAGAAGGAATTAATTTAGGGAAGCCCTATGACCTGCTCTGCGCAAAAGGTAAACTGTTTTATGAGACATGTTTTGTGTAAGAAATGCATTAGCCACCTTTCCCACCAATTTTTACCTTTGCTTATATTTCTAGTTTTCTTATGTTACTTACTTATCAATATATCCTTATCATCATCAGTCAAACCTTTAAAGGCATCGTTAGTTGGAACAAACAGAGTCCATTTTCCAGGCTGTGACAAAACATCATCTAAATCTGCAGCTTTCACCAGACTGAGGAAAACACTGTTTACAGCAAACAGACAAAACACAAATACATTCTGTTGAAGTGTAGTAACTATACTTGGGTCCAGGCACTTAGTTCCCTCATTTTTTCTGATAGTGCATCAATTTTCAAACACTCGCCCTGTTTCCCAGAAATAAAGACAGTGGAGGAGGAAAATGAGAAAAAAAAGACAGTCTTAAGAGCAACAGACTGAGCAAAAAAGATGTGAGAAAAAAAAAATATTGGCAGCCTGGATCAGAGCAGAATTCATCAAATATAAACCCCACAGATAGAAGAGATGAAGGGAGGATGCCAAGGATAGTTCCTTTCTCTAGGAGTATTGAGATACTTACAGGAAGCGGAGACAGAATAGGTACTGGGAAGGGTATGCAATCATGTTGCACCCATATGGAATTGTACTACTTGTTAGTTAAACCTCCAGACTCCACTGCATTTATAGCTTTGGATGCATCATCCAATCCCTTTTGTCCTCTTACTCCTCTCATTCTGGTGTCTTACTGACTCCTATGTGCCGTTAACAACCGTTCTAGCATAAAGTCTCGGAGCCCTTTCAGCACAGAGCTGAAGAAGAACATCTTTTCTTTTTTATTCCCCATCCCCTGACTTTTTTTTTTTTTTTTTTTTAAGGAGGTAATACCCCCTCCCCTGCCCTCCTTGTTCTCCAGTATCCGACAGCCCACAGTCCACAACTATTTCTCAGACCATCTGTGCTGTATATACAGTTACCCTCTGTAGGAAAATCTCAGTGCTGAAAAAACTGCTACTCACCTAAACCGCTTATCATTTCTCAGCATTTCATGTAATGTCTTTTCTGCTGGATTGATGATCTGTCTCAAGATGTGAATAAAACCGTTCCTTCCTTCTTTACTTCCTCTGACCATGCATGAATTTTCAATACATACAGCCTGATTAAAAGACAAACAAGTGTAGCTATTCACACAATGAATAACTTAAACATATTTGATAAAATGAGATAGAGGCATACTTTCCAAGAGGCTCCTAAATTTAAAAATAATATTCATATGTATTTCCTAAAGTCAAATTGTGTGTTCTTACCAGGAAATCTGGTATTACTTGAGAAAGCAAAAGTAGCAAAATCTTGAGTAAGTGTAAATATTTCCAGACTTGATTTTTTTGTTTCCCTTGAGAATGTTCTTAACTGACTCTAAAAAAACCTAGCTTTAAAACTTTGTAATTAATGGAGTGCCGGATCTGGAAACCTGTTTTGTTTTCCCAAGGAGTCTTCCATGCAAACAAAGTTCCCAAAGTTCCTTTCACTTTTTCCCAGCCTAAAACCTTAAAGATTTTGCTAGAGTCTCATAATGGCAAACATTGGAGGTTTCATTCAGCTTTCTCTTTTGTTCTTTCATGATTCTTCATTTTCATAGCTGGGATACATATTGTTAGAAAGCCCTATTCACTTACTGTGCGATACAAAAACACTCTAAGCAGTTTTCCTCCAATTGTCTCCAGCTCTTGTCCATTGTACAGTTCATTGAGCCCAACTTTCACATTTATAATGTGATTCTGCAGGATCGTTTTAAGGCGGCGTTGATCCATCCTTAAGGTGTCATCTACAAAGCCATTTAGATATTAATATATAGTGATTTATATAGTGATTTTTCATTTAAATAAGGTTAACTGTGGATGCTATATTAAAAGACCATGGAAATATTGTATCTTTCTTTGAAATGCTTGAGTTAAGTGTTTGACAGACCTGTGTACACAGAAAATGAATTGTTAAGTAGTTTCTACAAATTGCCATTCCTTAAATTTGGTAATGACTTTTGACATAGCCCTGATTAATTACTATAAATAATATAGCTGATAATTTATATATGGGCCTGCTCCAGCTTCTGAATTACTGCTGAACTTCTTATTACAACTTTTCCTTTCTGCATGTGCACCTTAAAACCTTTCCAAATTTGCTTCTGTGGTGGTGAGTTAACCAAATTCTTGGGGAAAAGTTAGGATGCCCATGTAGTCACTTCTGCAAATATGCGAACCCCTGTTTTATAGTATATTTGTATCAATTTCTCTCTGCTTCAGTGTAGTGGAAAATACCAATCTTCTTGTATAAATTTTTTGAGAATAAACAAGTTGTGAATCTAATACAAGTAACCCAAAGATTAAGGGAACTGGCAGTTCATTAATACCTTTCCTTTCCCACAATCTGTCTGTGCATATTTTGTATCTTATTTTAGTGATACTATTTCCATTAACAAATGATGCCGTTAAAAAAAAACTGTGCAGCCTGGTCATTAGGCTTTTTTTGTCTTTCTGCATGGTATGTATTTTGAAAGGATGAAGTATCTCTATTTCTCTATGGCTCTCTTTCCTTGGGACTTAGAACAAGTACTGGGGTTTATTTCGAAAACTGTCAGGGTAGCATATATTCTTGTTCATTTTGACATTCAGAGCATAATCTTTTAAAGCTACTAACCTGAGAAAGCACCATTCAGAGGTACCAGGAGAGTGTATTGGCCTTCTGGTCTTAGAGAAGATGCCAGTCCTAATTGTATCATGAGGTCTGTAAAAGTAGTCTGCTGGGCACCCCCAAGCTCAATGACTTGCTTGGCTGCAAATAAAGGAATAAGAAAAGGTATTTTAACACACAGTTTATTTCTTTTCCTGATTTGGATTCTCCATGCTTATCCATAATAATATATCTGAGGTAATCTAGGTAATATTGCGAAAAACATCATCAGTGCAACAAGTTTTTCATACACATCACTGACCGGAATCAGGAATTAGCACTTCATCAATGAGGTGGATAACGCCATTGCTTGTCACAATATCTTTGCGTTTCACCATCTTCACTCCATTCACAGTCAGACTTTCACCATCACAACCAACTTCAACTGTGTTTCCTTCCAAGGTTTCATAGGCAGCTCCACCTGTGATGGCTTCAGAGCACTGCATAGTATTTAAAATATGGAACTTCACGAGAGCTGCGGAGAAAAGAGCAGGAAGTTCACACATAGGTGTTTGGACACATACATTCATATATATATATAATTCACGTATAGGTGTGGAATAAATTACATGTACACTATTTTTAATACTTTACTAGCTTATCTAGCATATTTGCTTATTTGCACTCATAGATCCTTTATCAAAAGTTATTTATATGAGAATTGATACTATGGGCCTCTAAACAACATTTATGGTCAAAAAGCTTTGGCATCCATTATATTATGAAAACTATGCTGATTATGCTGCAATCAGCACCTAACCAAGTATATAACTCGGTGACTGCAAACGATATGCTTCAAATGGACCTCTGAGTACAAAACTCTATAGGCTATGCAAAGTCAGCCCCACATTTATGTTTTGTTATGCCTTACTACATGATATTCACTGTACTATCCTCTGTGTGTAACAAAAGAATCAGCCAAAAATTCCTGAAAACAAAACAAAAAACAAACAAACAAAAAAATGTAAAAAAAATGCTGTGCTATTTCAGGATTCCATTTTTAGTCATTGTCTCAAATTAAAATTAGCCCAGATCCCTCTTTTCATGATCTTCCATTGAGATACTCCACAGTGACTTAATCAGGCTATAATGAAATGATGGAGAACTTGTTTAGTGCAGTGGAGCTCATAAATAAGAATAGAAATGTAACCTTCCATTTCTTAGTGGTTCCATATAAATGGAACCTTCTATTACGTTACTGTTCACCTACAGACTGATTCAGTTATTAAGTTTATTGTAGTTCTCAGAAGAATAAATGTGCTGACTTATAGTTTGTCAGAATATATAGTCTAAATTCAGTTCAACGTACAGACAGAACTTGTCTTTTACAAGAACATGGCCTTTTTGTATGTAAAAGCTATTCATGAGAAAGCTATTGGAGAATCCCACATTCAGATAGCCCTGCATTTCTAGAGGCAGGACTCTCTATCAGAACTATGCAGCTGAGCTATTAGAAACATCAATGCACCTATATTTTCACAGTTTCCTTTAAACTGTTTTGGAAACTAAGTCCTCGGTGAATTTGAATCCTTAGGTAACTGGAAAAGTCAGACAGAAGAAATAATTCCTCCCACATGTATGAAAGTACAGGTGCTTAATTTCAGAGCTACTAGGATAATGTAGTTTCTACCTCCTTGATCTACTAACCTGTATTTTCATTTGCAAAAAAAGGTTACATACCTTCAGAAGCCACCTTGTCACCCATGATCCTTTCTAAGACTCCCCTTGGAAGTCTCTCAAAAGCTTCATTAGTAGGAGCAAAGAGCGTGTAATGACCAGGCTTTCCAAGAATATCCAAGACATCTGATGTGATAGCAGCAGCCTAGAAAATAAATTTGGTTTTTAATACTGGTTATTTAAAATATTAGCAAAATACATTACATGTCTAGTTTCACCGAGTGCCCACAGGCACTTTAATGCTAGACTGAGATCAGTGTTACAGAAAGATGAAAAAATGAATTAACAAAAAAGAATAGATAATTGATTTTGTTGGAAAAATGTGTCGATATACCAAGTTACCTCCTTAATTTAGCACACAGTAATCAATAAATTCTGATAGAGGTGACAACAGGGCAGAAATTTTTATTATTATGGCCTGAATTTTTAAATGAAAAATGTGAACATGCAGGTTTTGACAAATTAGATCAAAGCAATAGTCTATCAAAGCTGATAATTTGCCCCTGAAATAATAAAAAAATGTATCATGGGTGTATGACTAATTTGATTAAATGCAAGGAGGAGGTTTTGAATCACAACAGGAGGCTGAGGGGTGACCTCACTGCTCTCTGCAGCCTCCTGAGGAGGGGACATGGAGAGGGAGGCGCTGAGCTCTTCTCCCTGGGATCTGGGGACAGGATGCCTGGGAATGGTTCAAAGCTGTGCCAGGGGTTCAGACTTGATATTAGGAATGATTTCTTTACCGAGAGGTTGATCAAACACTGGCACAGGCTTCCTGGAGAGGTGGTCGATGCCCCAAGCCTGTCAGTGTTTAAGAGGCATTTGGACAATGCCCTTAATAACTTGCTTTAACTTTTGGTCAGCCCTGAATTGGTAAGACAGTTGGACTAGATGATCATTGTAGATCCCCTCCAACTGAAATTATCCTATTCTATCTCAGGCTTTGAGGCCAGGAAAAATTAGTTCCAGGTTTTTGATCCCCAAAATGTTACTCAGCTCTGGACATTAAAAAAGTAAAGTTAAACACAACTGATGAAAAATTCTCTACTTTCTAGTGATGAAGAAAAGGTAAGCAGTCTGAACTAAATAAAACCCCATTCAATATTTTTCAAAAAAAGTATTATTTCCCTTTTATTCCTTAAATAAAGCTTCTTAACTTGCTTATAAATCTCCTCTGTACAACCTCACAATTTGGGTGTTTCCGTTATTGGATTAATCCTAAAAGAGAATACTATAACAATATATATTTCTTTGGTGGCTGCAACTTGTCCTCATTAGAATCAAAGACTGAAGAAAAAGAACAAGGCAGGAAAAGTAATTAAAGATATTGTGAGAATATATGATGGATTAAAAGGATAATATGATAGAGTATGACAATATAAATTATGAACAGATTTTCTAGAAAAAGAACATATGTAAAATTGAACAAATCTGGACTTGAGTAAAGAATTTCCTCTGTCAAATATGAAATATTATAGAAATATCTATATTATAGATATTATATATTAAATATTAAGATAGAAAGATAAAGTGCATATGAAACTGGTGAACTGGAAGATGGGAATAACCATGTTAAAAGAAATGTCATATTAGAGTCTCACGGCTGATTTTGTTTAATGGTTTTATTAGCACATTTGCTTTTGGAGCCAAAATCATTAAAGCAGTATGAAGTGCAGAGGTACACACACAGGAATTAGCAGGTGTATGTGCTATAAACAGGGACTTCACCCTTTAAAAAGTCAGAAAGGCAGAGTGCAATGTGATGCAACTGGAAGAAAAACAAGCATGATGCTAGCATCTATCCTGGAAACCAGTAAGTTTTTTTCAAGCAGAGTTAGGGAGGTATGCAAGTTAATATAAAAGGAATAGGTAAGACCTTATCTAGGATTAGGTGAAAACATCTGCTTAGAGTTCACAAAAGTTAAACCAAAAGAGAACAGATACAAGAAAGAATGCACAGGGAAAAATGAAATAGAGGGCTTGTTTTTCAACTGGAAACTCAAAAGGGTTGGCTTTTATATTCAATTATTTAAAGGGATTAAATGATATGGTTGCCTATAACTGTCATGGACTGAATTTGAGGGATTCAGAAGGTCTTTTCCACCTTTATGCCTCTGCATTTAATTTTTTTTTATTTATTTATTGAGGAAATGAAGGAGGGAAAAGGACAACTGCTATTTGCAAAACCATGGCAGGTTTTTTTAAACATGTGCAGCATGAAATCCCATTACACTAGGCAGACATATATTCTAGAAGAAGAAGAAATTAGAAACCTGGACAGAAAAAAACCCCTGCTGCTTCTCTGCAAGAAAAATCCTTCCTATATGTATCTACCGGTGTTCTGAAACTTGCTATGAGCCAGGTTCTGGAATTTATTTGGGTTTTTTACCAATTTTTGTCATCCATTTTGAAACTATTCTCATTTATCTAGCACCAGACACTGTAACATGCTCACACGTTTCATTACCTTAGTGCTTGAAGAAAAGACACACTTTGTGTCCAGGTTCACATTCTGTCCTATTGATGTTGTCTTATTTGATCCACAAAAGAGCAGAAGCAGACTCCTTATGTAAAATATACTTTGCCTTTTTATATAGCTAGATTTGCAATATTAGCTGGAGTTCTTAATTTATTTCTGTCTCTTACTGAACTAACCCTTCTTACTTCCAGGTATGATACACAAATAGAAAAGAAAGAAGAAAAAACTGAAAGACCAGAGAAGCATTTTTATTTTTGTCTGCTTACTCTAAGAGATGAAAGATCATCCTCGACTTCAATGAAATCTTGAATGGTATTTCCAACAGCGGTCAGGACGCGATCGATGACATGAACAACACCATTGGTAGCAATCTGGTTGCCATAGATGACCCTGGCACAGTTAACAGTAACAACCTGTATTTGAAGAATCAAGCAGTAGAAGATTAAGCATTAATTTGATCATACACTTGGAATCTGATTCTTACAGTTTGGCAATGTATATACTGTACATTATGTATTCACTGTTGTTCTTTCAGTTTTTATTTTAAGTTTTAAGTAAAACCTTGTAAGATTTAAAAAGCTGGCTAAGATTCTGGAAACCTGGCAGCAGATTTATTCAGGCTACATTGATTTTATAATTTTTTACCAATATGTAAACTGTTGTCCAACATAAACATTTTGATGCAACAAAGATGAGTGACTTAACTGGGAGATTTCTAGCATTTATAAAAATGAATTTTTTTTCCAGCCAAAAAATGGATGTGTCCCTCCTACAATCTTAAATGCCTCTACCATACACTCCAATTCAAATAAAAGATCTGATTTAATAATATTTTGTAGACACATGAATAGTAGGTTTTTGTCTCAGATTTATGATGATCATATATTTTGGCCACAAAAGCCTTTGTCTTTTAGGAAGAAAGTTCATTATCTTTTAAATTTTGATTTCTAAACAGCAAATGGCATATGTTCATTAATTCTTTCTTAGTGATCAGTCTACACAGCAGACAAAATTTCTTCAAGAGAAAGTTTATTTATTTTTGTCAGTGGCAACTGACTTGCTAGATGTTAAACTTTCTATAACCTATTTTCTTAGCTATAGAAGGAAATAAGTGGAAAGAGTAATGGCTATAACTGAATAATTATATTAGGAACAAAAAAGAAAGAGAATAGACTTACCCCATTAGGATAATGGTTAATAAGCAATTTCTGGTCATTATACATAGACACCAGAGTCATGCCATTCTTAAGATCTTTTGTCAACATGCGCTTGTTTACCATGTGGTGGTGGAGAGCGTTATACAGTTCAATATTTACATTATCAATCAAATTCCTGTGAATTTCCTGAAGAAGAAAGGCGTTTAATTAATTAGAACTTCAAAACATTCTTCCAGACAGAAAGATGTACATACTGCTTTACTTAACATATGCTTTCAATATATTCAACAATGGCTACCTCCTGTTAGGAGACATGACTTTGATACCTATCAATCTGTCTCTATTTAAATGATGCTTTAGTCTGATTTGCTCACAAATGGAAGATAAGAGGTCTCATCACAGACAAGTCATTTGAGGAGCTTTGATTCAATATTTAACTAAAAACATTACTAAAAGAAGGACACCTGATTCACTGACAAAGTACAATTACACTCTACATCATGCAGTTGCTGGAATTCCTGTCAGTTTCTCCAAAACTATGCTAATAACTAACAATATTAATATTTGTCATGCAAGTGCTTACATAAGCAACACTTAATAGTCACTTAGTACTCCCGAAAATAAATTCAGACTCTTTAGCTTCAGCAATGCATGTTAAACATTCAAATTATTTTAACTTGTGTAATGTCCTTTAATATCTAAAATATCCACAGTTTCCAGTCTACCTTATCATAGACTACCTGTTGCAGCTAAAACAACATTAGCTGAAAGAGAAATACACTTTAACACATGCATGTGGACGCATGCGCACACACACACACTTACTGAATTTAATTGCTCCCAGGCTTCATTGCTTGGTGCAAAGAAAGTGAATGATCCTCGTCCCTCAACCTCTCCTCTCAGCTTTGATATGTCACAATAGTGCTGCGTGGAGGTAGCTCCCACAATACCAAGTGTGCCATATACATGATCAATAGGAGCAACTAAAATAAACATGAGATAAGAATACTGTAAACTCTTCAGTCATCCAGTTTCTCACAACCAAATCTACTTTGTTTCTTTTGGTTGGACAATAGTATTGCCTTTCTGAAACTGTTTAAATCAATATTAAAACAAAGTGCTTGGATTAAAATTCCATTGTCAACATACTCAAAACCCACCCAAACACATCTGCTTGTTACTTAGTTTTTTGGTTTGCTCAATGAAAAATTAGATCAGACAAACCCCAATATTGTAATGTCTTCTTTAGAAGAGTTGTCTTGTTTTGTGCCAACCCAACCTGGAATGGGAGGCTATCCATTGAGGACAGGAGTAAGTTCCATCTGTAATCACAAAAATTTCAATGGAGTGGGTCTCATTTAGTCACGGCGGACCAGAATTCTTCTTGTGAGACCTTCTGCTCTTCTTCCAGTGTTTGGTTTGTGCATGTATTGATTCATCCAGGGAGTAAGAATGGCCATAGTCCCACAGTTAAAACCCTGCTACTTGAGAACAGGCTTCATGTCTCCTAATTCAAGGTATCTATAGGTGAGGCATCTGCATGCGAGCTAGTTGTTCTTGGCTCTTTTTATGGTCATGGCGAGGAACAGGCAATGCTAGAGTGTGACTGCTCTCATCCTAATGTAAACATCCTAAGTGAGATTAATCCATCTAAACAAACTGAACTCTGCCTTAGGCATGCCTAACTCTATTATTGAATGTAAAAGGATTAGTTCAGATATAGGGACCTATAGTTATGAAGTATATTCCTTCTCAGATTACTCTTCCCTGCTGCCATTAATTTTATTTATGCAAAACAGAATAACACAAATAGGAGAAATCAAGAATTCCTGTCTTCATTTTCACTCCTCCTCAGTTTATTTACAGCCTATAATACTCTTTCAGTAAATAAGATTCAAGTTTTCTCAGGAAAAGGAATAAACAGAATTTAGATATGCCACACCTCATGTTCTGGGTTTCTGACCTCACTGGTATGCTTTAGGTTATTCTGGGGCATGATGGGAATAGGAATAAAAATTCTTCTTTGGCAGCTTTGGGAACTGAAGACACTATTGTTCCTCTCCAATTCAGCAACTGGAAGGAGCTGGGGAATTCAACTTACACTGCATGATCAAATTCAGTGCTGACTGTTTTTTAACTGTGTTGACTGTATGCAAATGATGCTGTGTATTCTCAGGCAGTAACTCCTAAAAAGGGGCAATCATTTCTCAGGATGACCACCTTTGAAAGTCTCTGGTGTTGTAGTGCTTCTCATATACTGACTCATCCATATGAAAATAAGTTTGTACCTGCAGGACATCCTCTCATACCATCCATCTTCATATAGCCAGGACAGCACTCATATAACACAGTTCTGTGGGATATAGACAAAAGCACAATTAAATAATATACAGGACAAGTTATACTAATTTTAGCTAAGTCTAATTTTTTTATTATTATTAGTTTTTCATTGCTAAGTATGCAGTCCCCAGATCTTCATCCTTTTTTATCATTCAACCATTTCTGTATAGACTACAAATTGGTTGTATTTTAATAAATGCAGGGCTTTTGAATTTACGGAATGACTGCCATCATTAAGTGCTAGGAAGGAACATGGGAGGGGATGTGGAACCTATATAGAGTAATTAAAAGATGATGTGACTAGAACAGCAGCTGAAGAAAATTTAACTGATCTGTTTTGAAGAGATTAGATGGGATTGAAGAAAGGGAGAAATAAAGAAAGTGAGGACATTTAAAGAAACTGGTGACAGCAGGGTTGTAAAGGAAAAAGAAAAAAATAAATAAACTGAACAGAAATTAAAATGACAAAACTACATGAGGTCACCATACTGGATATAGGAAATAAACATGTGTTTAGGAGAAGGTCCTGTGGATTGTATGGTGATAGAAAGTGGGATAGCAGAGCCTCGGTTTTTCAAGGAAGACTTTGAAGAAGCTCAGGAATGAGGGAGAGAACTAATTAAGAACAGACATAAAGCATGTTCTAGAGAAGGAAGTCACTAAAGACTGGATGGATGGACACAAGGGAAAGTTCACCGGTAAACGTAGTGAGGATGAAAACCAGACTACAAGAAATCAAAACCAGAGTTAAAAGAACTTAGTTACATAGAACTTAGCAATACCAGGGACCAGGAACTGTTATATAATGATGTCAATAAAATATTCTCATTCTTGAATACACGTGAACTATACATAAGAGCAAAGCAGGGCTAACTGATAATTCTATACTGTAATATTCAATTTAGCATTGATGGTCTTAGAAGATACAATGTCTTCTTAATTCATATGACAGACATAAAAGCTCTACCATCGATCTGCTTGACAAATTCTCTTCTCTTACATGAAAGTGCAAATTCACTAAAGTTATTACAGAGTTGATTTTGGCTCCTTGGGAGAGGGAATGCCAACAAATTATATAATCTTACCAAAGTCTAAAACAAACTTTAAGGCATTAGATTTCAGATATTACTTTTCAAAGTATGGTACACTGTGAATGACAACGAAAAATTGCCATCACGGTTTTACATAATAGATTTATTTTTATAGGCGTGGCTGATGTTGGCAGTGCTAGAGTTCTGAACACTAATTCCTTGAAGGTTTTTGCTGAGTCTTTACCACCACATTCCAGCTTTTAAATTGTAGACTCTTTGGTGGCAGCTGAGTACACTTCTCTCATTTTTCATAAACTAAAGCTGACAAAACATTAACCACAAACACATTAAAATGAATAGCTTATTCAAATGAAAAGTTGGACTTAAGACTTTCAACATCCAAACTACTTGAAGAGATTAAAAAATGAAAGTAGACTGGAGGAACAATAGCATTACAAAGCAAGATTTTGAAAGTGAGGATTGTAATTCCCTACCTATTAGCAAACTGATAGAACTGGTGAAGATTAGAGATTTTTAAAAAAACCCACATAATCTTTCATTTCTCCACACTAAGAGAATACTTTGTTTCCTTCCCTCACATACATAGACACACATGACATATTCACCCTTCTGCCATGAGCATCTTTTCAACTGAGAAGCCGTATATTGAAAGTATTTGCATAGTTCTCTTTAGTACATCTCTTTCTTTAAAAGAATTTACTGAATGGCTATTTTTTGGGAATGCAAGAATAGCATACAGTTTAGGCTACAGATTTGCTAACTAATAAGGAAATTAACTTTAAACTCTTCCTCCTTGTTGCATTCCTGCCAGAAGCTAATAAAAAAAAAATCTGATTAAAGAAAACCATGTAGCAGAATAGGAGTCAGAATGTTCTCCCAACTGTGTGAACTGCTTTGTCATGAGAAATTTTCTATTCTGTGGAAGGAAAAAAATATTATCTCCCCCTCACCCCATGAGCAGCTATGAAAGATTGTGGTCTTAATTAGCTTTTGGAAAAAGGAAAAAGGAAGCTGAGTTATAAGCATAGAATAAGACACAGCAAGTTTAGTCTTCTTACCATATCCAACAATGACACAATTAATGAAAGGCAGAAAACTGGCTGAAGAACATAGTTAAGAAAGAAAAGGCTTCTTCAGCCAAACATTACAAGATCAGTGCCTTTTTTACCATGTAACTTGTTATGTACAGCCCAGGCTTTTTTTCAGTCATCAAGAGTTACTGTAAGTTCCTATTTACAGTATCCATGTTCCCTTACACTTGACTGTAATTAGAAGGTCCATGTATCAGATGTGCTCAAAGTGTAGTGAGAAAGTGGAATGGGAGAAAGGGGTTATGTATGGAGGATCCCACAATAAGGTTAGAACCAGAAAAAACTCAGTGTAGGATGCAGCTCCTCAGCACCACTCGTGTATAGACACAGTACACGGGGGAAGTACCATCTCACACCATTAGTTACCTTCATCTGTATCTCCCTACTAGTTCAATATAAGATGGTGCCCAAGCAAAGAAAACAGTTACCCAGGCAATAAGCCATGCTACATTCTTGAGTTTTTTGGAGGTTTTGGTGTTTGTTTTATTTTTTTTTTTTGTTGGGTTTCTTTTTTTTTGGTGGGGTGGTGTTTGGTTGATTGTTGGGGGTTTTTTTTAGCACAAAGTTGTTCTGACCTCATCCAAAGGAAGAAAGGGCAGAGCAACACTACCTTATGTCCTTGTTATTCTTGGCTAACAGAGCCAGTTTACAGTTATTCAGATCAGCTCTGTGACTCATCTGTTTCTACTCCTTGCTGGCATGGATTTAAAATACTGCAGAGAAACAGTGGAAAGACTTCTGGTCCAATTGACTTTGATTTTAGCAGATCTTTACATTGCATCCTGATTGGAAATTTAGAGCAGTGGATAGGAAGTGTAAATAATAAAAGCATTCTCAAATTAACATTTTGTAGATCATATGTACAAGTTAGGGAAGACTTGTTAACATGGAGATATTACCATGAGAAGAGCCACCGTCCTTTTGGATTAGCATTCTTATTACAGTAACCTCTTTAGTAACATCTGCATTTCTGGTTTGAGTGCACAGAATATAAAACTCCCATTAACAGCTAGGACTAAGTTATAACAGATGCTCTATTACAGCCACAAAAAACCCCTCAGGAGTTCTATCACTTAACTTACTCTCATGCACACTGGTTTGCCCCTCTAGCCTGGTAGGAGTGTTAGGAGGGAGAAGGTAGGTGGTAGTTTTGTGTAGACTCTCATGCCCGATTCCACCCAGCCCCACTGCTCGAGTCTTCCTCTGGTTGGCTGTAGCAGGCTTCTTGCTTAGGGCCTTACACAGGCTCTGTAAAATGTTTTACAGCTTACATTCCTCTCAATTCTAGTCAGTGAAGAGAACAAAGTCACCACCTGACTTTAGTTCAATGAGTACAAATTGCCTATTGCTTCAAACAGTTTTTCCTGACACATGAAGGTATCTGTCACTACATAAGTTGTTTTACTTCTGGAGCTCAGCAAAGTAATGAATTCCCTGTCAGATTTGTGCTGAGAGCAGACTTTGTCTCATGGGAAGACATGACATCTATCGAGGAATAAAACCACAGGAGTAGGTTGTTTTCCCAAACTGACTTTGAGAATATCCAAGTTTCAGTCTAAAGTTATGTTCAGGAAATACCCTTCTTCCCAATGTGTCTGCAGTGGAATAAAATGTAGTGCCAAAGAAGTCAGTGGTATGGCAAACTTCACTCAAAAGGTGAAGTATTTTGGATGACTTGCAGCATGTCCACTGAAGGAAAAGGGAAGTCAGTACTACAATGCCACCTGGAGGAGAAGGAAAAACTCTGATTAAAACTATAAACCTACAGGTCCTAAAAAGATTGAAGGTAGAGGTGGAACAAATGACCACACAGCCTAGTTTGACTAGAAATTGATCATTATTACCATCATCATATGCATACAAATCTGCAATTTATGTGAAAAATGAGTTCTAACTTGTCTGGATTTGCTTATAAAAACAAAGCCAAAATAAAAATGGGAGAAACTGGTTAGGATTCCAGACAGTCAATTACATTTCAAAGAAACTTCTGGGGACTTAGAATAACCAGATTGCTTGTCTGGGTAGGATATTCATTATGATTTGTGCTATTTCCACTCTAACTTACTGCTGTTACTTTCTTTCACCTGCTGAAGTAATTAGTAACCAATAAAGTTTACAATAGCAGAAAGCTTAGGGTGACAGCTTGGCCCATGATAATCAGGTCTTTTCCTCAGCTCTGGTGGGGCCATTGTATCCTAACTCACATCTATACTGACTTTAGAGTTGAGACTTCAAAGCCATGGCAGTGCTTGAAAGGCAGGACTGTGTGTTGGAATCAGTGTCTCACTGTATTGGAAGTATAACTCAGCTCCATTAATTTATGATATGCTGTCAGAGCACTAAAAACGTTTTCTATGAAAGGAAATGGAAGAAAACTTCCTCCTACTACATCTTCCCTCAGTCTTTTTCCTAAGGATCCTTTCCAACACCATGCTATGACATGTAGCATCTTTCAGGAATCTCAAAAAATTCAAAGCCTCTGACACCCAACAGGAGCAGTAGGAACCACAATCCCAGCCCATTTCAGGTCCTTGCCCGACTACTATCTGATTTACTTGTAGTATTTTAACAGTGCAAAAATCGTTACTGGAGGCATTTGTCTCACATAAATAATCATTTGAGAATCTTAACCAGTTTTACATTAGTAAATATAGGGATGATGCTCAAGAACTAGGAATATAGTTGTCAGCCAGGACAGCTCAACCAGCCAAAAAATGAAACAAAATGCAAAGCTGGCTTTGAAGAAAAATGAAAAAAAAAAAAATGGAAAAGGATACTTTTTTAATTATGAAAGTGTCATATATGTAGATGCACTAAAGAGAGCATGAGAGAGTGTAGCCATATTAGCACTCAGTGATGCATGCACACTCTGCATCATTTTCTGTGCCCCTCCATTCCCCAGCACAAACCCAGATTGTATCTGCATCTAATTCTTTGTCAACATGGAATTCTTTGACTTTCTGTAAACAACTATTCAATGAATTTCATACAAATTTATGAAGTCTTACAGTTGCACTTTTAACTTGAAAGTATTCTTTTTGTAAAAGCTCACTTGGATTCAATGTCAGCTATGTGTAATTGTTTAAAGTCAAATATAGCTTTCTTTTTTTTTCCCCCCAGAATTTATCATTGTTTCTATATTTAGAAACATTTTTTTAAACATGAAGAATGGACTGGAAAATACGAATCCTATTTACTCATGACTTTGACAATCAAGACAAAAAAATATGACTAACCAATTGCAAATTATCAGTCACTTCTTGTTCAAGCTCTCCTTTCTAGTTTATTTAGTGAATTATTGTTGATCAGAAAAACACTTTCAAGAGAATTTAAGAGCTTGTTTACAAAGGGAGTCATCTTTGACTGGCTTATGTTGCCAACACTGTGGATATTTTTCTTCCATATTAACCTCTGTTAAGGAAGCCTTTGGCACAGAAACAAAAAATTAGTCCACATTACATTAACATCTAAAACATTGGTTGATGTTCATTACGAAAGTTGTAAATACAAGTCTTACTTCAAATGGAGTTAAGTTCCTCATACATGTAATTTGCACCATGTATCAATATAACTTGACATCTTTATGTCTTAGGGCATATAATCTCTCAGTGACTATTCAAATTGTATACTTAAATATTACTTGGGCATTTTGAAGAGTTTTATAGGCTTTCACTAAGAGACTCCTAATACCCTAAGACAGAGTTGCAACTGAAGCCAGGACTCCCTGTTCACTCAAGCCTTTCTGAAAATGTCACCCCAGACCTATTTGTACCCTGTAAAAGAATAATGAGACCATAAGAATAATGATTTTCTGTGATGACTGCTGAGAAATTTATCCAAGTAATTGCATAATAGCAAGAGAATAGTACACAAGAAAAACATTAGTTTGTTGTATTGGGTAAACAATGACAGTCTCTGTTAAATTACTTAATTCTAAGTAAGACAAGTGGGGCAGACCAAGTTCAGGACTGGGGACTTTGTATGTCTTCACACTCTGAAGCTGCTCTATGACTGACAAAACAGTAGTGACTTTGACATTTTGTCACGGAGAAGGCAATGACTTGCATTCTGAGAAGTGACACACAGATTCCAAAAGAATGCCAAACTCACCCAGATATAATCTGTATCCACAACCATAAACTGATTTTTTTTTTTTTTTTTTTTTTGCTTTGTGGAGACGTGTGGTCTGAGCTCACAGCTCTGCTAGGTAGTGCTGAGTTCTTTTCACAACTGGCCTATTACATCCCTCTGTGTTTTTGGGTAGGTCACTTAACCTCATACCTCTTTGTGTTTAAAATAGAGCTATCCATACTTAACTCAGAGAAGTATTGCTGAAACTAATATTTTGAAGCCTCTTAAACTTAAAAAAAGAATATATGCTATGCTATAATTTTCAGACTTTGCACTCCTTTTGTGATCATTTTTGGCAATGATTATTGGATCACTTATCCAGGAGGTTTTAGAAGCAGCTAAAGAGAAGCTGTAATCCTGTAAAATTATGAACCGAATTCTTCCTGTACCTGCATTTGAAACAAACAGCTCATGTCTGAGAAAAGGAGAGTTTTCTAATCTTACACTGGATTATCTCAATGAATGGGGAAGAGTTTTGAAACAGAGCATACTTACGCTTTCTTTCCACAGATGGCTCCCTGGTACCAGTTTCTGCAGGTACTGAAGTATTTCTTTTTTGTTCCCATAACTTGCTGAAGGGCACAGACATTTTGGCTGTGGGTGGGAGCAAGAAACATTTTAAAAAGAAGCTTCTGGACATCTTCAGAAAAGTTTTATATAAAACAGCGGCAAATACCGTTTCTCTTGAAATGTAAGAAATTAACACCTGGCTTCAGTTTCCAGGGCAGGTGTGTTTTCAAGCAACCACAGTGCAAGATGCTGGGACTGCCCAGCTGAGTCCCTTGGCAAGCCCCCCCTCCCGGCAGGGACAGAAGATTCCCCTCCGGTCTGGTTTGACCCCCTGTCTCTGATGGGCAGTGATCACCAGCTGTGCCTAATCAAGTCTCAATATGCCTTACATTTTTCCCTTCCCCCTGCAAAGTGAATTAATTACCAACCAGCAGGGACTGAGCTGTGAAAACCATCAGGCTCTTTTCATTAAAGTTTTTGTCTTGTACACATCTGTGCAGGTCATGGGGAGATGGGGAAGCAAAGTGCCTCATTCTTTATGTAGAAGGAAACCCTGTCTTCTGTAAATCAATCAGCTGTTTTGATTACCAACCTTTTGGAGTACCGCAGGCACCTAAGTAAACATTCTGGGAATTACTGGGGACCAAAGGGTAAATTGGCATGTAAATAAAAGGAGTCACAGTTTTCAAATGTGAATACTTTTTCCTTAGCATGGTAGTGTACAGAAGAGGAATTTCTTAAAGGAAAATTCCATGGAGCAAAGGCATTTTGTCATTAGTTTTTATACTTCTAAAATAAAAAAAAAAATCATCAGTTAAAAAGTTAGAACATATATGTTACATCTACTGGGAAGCCAGTGAACTTTTTTATTTGAATAGCGCTCTGTGTGTGTGCATGTGTGTAGCAGGCAGAGGGAATTTAAGATGGGAAGCTAGGATGGTAAACAACTCCTATTCGCAGAACAGTTTTCACTTAAGAAGACTGAAGGAAAATAAGTTTAGACACATGTGTCTCCCTGACACCAGCTGTTCAAATTATCTCCATGTCTCTGAGCAGCCTGGCTTGTAAGTATTGTCTTTTAGGCACCCTGTTGAGCGGCTTGCTGCATTGCTCTAGTGGGAATAGAAGTTTTATAAAGGCTTCCAGTATATATTCCCATCTTAGAAAGCATTTAAATAGAGGTCATGATTTACGTTAGGATGGATAAAGAGAGAAAATATGGTGGGATAGGTGTCAACTCTATTCAAACATTTGAAAACATATTAAACATATGTGACATCCCATTACATTAATTGTGAACTGTAATTAACTTCAGTGATTCTAAAATGCATGTATTTTATTCATTGAGAAGTGGTGATTTTAGTTTTTTTTCACATTTTATGAAGTTTAACAGTATTCAGTCTCCTTTTGAAACTCCCCGGAAAGCTTTTTATTTAGGAACAGTTCTTGTAAAATTAATTGAGAAAGTTAGTTCTACTTGAATGATAGTAAGAATTCATAGTGAAAAATCACATTTAATATAATGCAAGAAGAAAGGGCAGAAAAAAGATTAACAATCTCCCTTTTAAAATAGAAATAAACTCCAGTTACTTACCCTTGGTCGCGTGCCCTTATTCGACTGTGAGTTAAAATCTTGTCATAGTGAACAGAAGCAGCTGCTTGTTCAAAAGGAGACCAAAAAAAAGTGGAAAAGGTGAATAAGAAAAAGATCTTCATCTTTAGTCCTCTGTTGCTTCTGGCAAGGCTAGAAGAGAGAACTGGCAAAGTGTCTGGAGAGCTGACAACTTATATACATGTAGGAAGGTGGTGGGAGGGAACCACAGGATCAACCTGAAACTTCGTACCACCCTCCTTAGAACAGCAGCTTTCTTTGCCAGCTTCAGTAACCTAAATTAGTACCATACATTAACTATAGAAAACATTTTTTTAATCCCCAATTGACTAATTTCTTCCTTGTTACAGAAGGCTTAGCATTTTATTCTGCTGACACAACAGCAGAGAAAGTTTGAGAAGTTTAGACTTTGAGTTATGAATTAATATTTATAGCACTGAAGCATCCAGAGGTCGTGATCATTGCGTGTGGTTTTGTTCAAACCCAGAGGAAGATGTTGTCTGTTCCCATAAGAACTGCACTGCTTTCCTTTGTCTTCCATGTCCTCACAGTTATCAGCTATGAGCTGTTTAATTAGTGAAGTTGATGAAAGTTCCAAACAATACTGTTGTCAAGAACCTGGAATAACACTTTTGTCTTGAGGAAAAAAAAGCTGTATTAACACACATTCAGATTATGAAGTAGTTACACAATCAAATGCAGTATTAGCTTAAACATTCATTTTAATTCTAATAATAACAGTAGCTATTACATAATGCTTTTATTCAGAGCTTTACATAATCATACAAAAACCACTGACTATCTGAAAATTTGAATATATACCTCTCTATACTTATTAGTTGGTCCTTGGGAGCCTCTTGTGAAGTAAAGGGAAAACATAATTCCGAGCTGTAAATGAGGGAACCGAGGCAGAAGGGTGAAGAGACACGCTTAAGCCTCCAGTGAAATCACAGTCTTAAGGCTCCAGGGACAGTTGGTGTTGGGACTGCAATCCAGGAGTTTGCAGTTTTCATGTCAAGGAAAAAACTCTGCCATTTATGTAGAAGTGTTTGCATATTAATACAATTTCAAGGTATAGTCTATAGATCATTTCAGATCTTTATGAAAGTAAGGTGACTTCTAATGGCAGTACTTTGCTGTAGTTTCTTCCTCCGAACCAGAGCGAGTAGTGAGGTGAATCACTGGAAATGGATGCAGTATTGGACTGACACACCTGGGACCAACCGCTCTTTGCAGAACAGACACAAATGGGGCAAAAAAAACAGGCAGAGACAATGACCATCTCCTATATATCATCATAGGTAAAGGTTATAACTAGGCATAGGCATAGAGATGTTTTATGATTAAGGTAATGTCTCACATAACCATAGCACTTCATGGTTTCTAAGGTTAACAGCAGGGACCAGGATTTGGTGAAATGGTAGGTGGAGTTCCTTCTTGCTGTGACCTGTACTCATCCTACCTGCAAATGACTTGAGATAGCTCATGGAAGTGTCAGCATCTCTAGACTCACTGTGTGTAAACTCAATAAAACTCCATGCCTGAAACCGTCACTGTCACATCAGCTGATGGAGGTGCTGGGTCAGCTCTGTGATATAATATTACAAGGTTAGGAGAATGTCACTGCTGCATTCCTGTTCCTCTCCGAGCTTTTTATCTCCTCCTGGTCTTTGCAGCAAGAAATACAGAGACAAATATCACCTCTTAAATGTCTAGCCATGACATTTCAATCTGCTAATTGGCCTCAGTTGATCACCCTTTGCAGTTCTCAAGCTACAGATCAAAAAATTAGAATATACTCTGTTAAAGTAACTTGATAAACTTCAGAAAGTCCCAGAACTGTCTCAGCAACCTGTCTTCTCAGGAGTGCCTCCCTCCTGAGTCTCTCAACTCTCAGCATAACTCATGTTAGTCTCTTCCACACTTACCACGCACCATCAAAAAATGAGTAGAAATTAATGCTCAGTGTATGCACTGAGCTCCTGTCATTTACAGAGCTATCCACCAGTTAAAGAAGGAGCAATCTGAGCAGGGCAAGTATTTTATTTCCAGATTTTTCCATGTTTCTGATTAGTGACCTAATCTTAAACCACAGAGAACCCCCCTTGTTCTGTGTAGAGTACAGTAGGCTATAATTCTTAAACTGATAATTCTTATTAATAATACCTTACTCTTCTCTGTTTCCACTTACCTTTGATTGTGACAGGAACTGGACATAATGGGAAAAAATAGTCATCCTAAGACCATTCATCTTCCCACTTCCATACATTAATGTTATAAAACTTCCCTTTCCACTTCAGAGGTATAGAAGAAAAGATCTTAAGGATTGTTATATGTCAACTTTAATACCAAACATGGTGTCAGAGGTAATAGGGCAGCACAGAAACTGGTCATGAAGAAATATGTAATTATAAAGTCATGTTAACTAACCAAATTAAATGAAAATCAACATTAAACCTTATAGCAATGCTGGTGACATCATTATATTTAATGAGGTAAATGTTAGTAAAAAATAGTCAACGCAGACATGAAGTTCACTAAAATAAAATAGCATGAGGAAAAAAATAATGATCATAAGCTTGACTTTCTGAAAAATCTCTAAATCACTGAACAAGTTGTTCTGGTGAGTGGTGTAAAATTGCACAGATCCTAAAATGGATAAAGCTCATCTTTAGCTGGAAATTACTTTTTTTAAAAATCATCAACCCAATGGAAATTGCACAAACTTATAATTTAAAAACTTCTAGTAAAAACAAACAATGAAACAAACAAACCACAAAAAAACCCAAACAGCAAAAAGCATCAAGAAGAAAAACCAGTCCAACTACATGAATCCTATTCCTCATTTATGTTTACATTAGTCCAGATATAAAAACAAATAATGAAGCCAGGCTCTGTTTTGCCTGTGATATAATGGTGTGCTGAACAGCACACCAGAGTAATCATTTTCTAATCTGCCAACTAAAACACTGTTCTGGTTAACCAATACTTTAGTCACTTGTGCTCATTGCTACTTTATTTATTTTAATTTGTTCTTTATTTAGCAAGATGGCTACCCCACCAAGTAGAAAAAAAACTTAGTTTTTTTCTTCCTTTGTCTAAATACTTTGTGCAATGTTATACTTCCTAGGGGATGTGATGTTGAAATTCTAGTTATAAATGTTGAAAATCTAATTATAAAATGAATAAAGCCACCTCATGGATGTGAATTATTACTGTAGTAATAGGACATTTTATTATCCACAGCAGAAGCATCATATCCAAAGAAATACCTGGAACAAGTATAGAACGAGTGCTGATTTTCATCTTCCACGAAGTGTAAATAGTGTCAAGAAGAAAACTCTAAGGTATCTGCTATTCTGAATTGTTTCTTGTATTTCTCTAGAGACCTCTAGTGGAGAGACCTCTGTAAAAGTCGATTTCTCAAAGCTGCTTTACATGTTTACGCTAAGAATTTATTGTACAATAAAGCAATTTGTTTTATTATTCCTAAAGAGGATTAGTTTAACTGTATGATGCAGGAATCCTTGCATACAAATATTTAGGGGTTTGAATAAGTGCCTTTACATCAAACTGAAGTAACAGAAGCATCTATCTATTGTGGCTAATTCTACTGATGATGTGCAGAAACTTAGCACGTAAGAATGGAAGGAAATTAAAAATTTTTCAAATATTGTCTTCCCAGTTAAAACCTGCAGATGTTTCAGGTCATTTACAATGTGTGTCAAGTGGTATACATACTCTGCTTTTTATTTTATAACTACTTTATGTGTTTACTTTTTGTTGAGTGAGTGTGTGTGCTCAGTGGAAAGGACAAATGGGTAAAAAATTTTAAGATTAAAGGAGAGGCTACCTCTATCCTGCAGTTGTTTAAATCGTTAGGTTTCCTTAGAAACCTTGATTCAGCAAATTTGGGATTTTTGTCATTAACTTCATTTAGATCAGCAATTTGCACCTGGAGTAACCTTCAGTGTCTCTTCTTAAAAACTAGTTTGTTTTTAGGAATGCCTTGATACGCACTAGAAGAACCCAAGCAACCCATTGTCCTTCCGGACAAACTAAGAGGCTGACAGTAACATGTCTATAAGAAATTTAGTGTTTGTAAGTGCAAGGTGACAACCAACATATTGATTAAGGTGTTTAGCAATGTAATTGGGCATTACTCTTCCCCGTGACATCTCCCAATGAATGCATGACATAGCATGTGTATGTATATGGGGGATTAAATGACAGAAAGCCTTGCTGGATGGAGAAATGCAAAGACAGCTCCAAGCCCTCTGAATTTGGGTGAGAAGGGAAGGAGAAAGGAAGACTCAAAGTTGTCATTATTGTGACTCGGAGTTGGAGATACCAATCAATACTTTGGCTCCTGCAATATGCAAGGAAACACCCATCCTTGGATATCCTTGGAAGCTATAGGTGTATAATTTTTAGGCAAGTCAACAGAAGTTGTAAAATGAATCTGATCCCTCAGAAACTGTTATTTTTTAATCATATTCGGATAGAAGAAGAGATATTGCTAAATTTTAAAGTATCATGGTACATACTACAGTTTTTGTGTATTATAAAATTATTCTATAATGTTTATGTGCAATGATTAAATGTGGTGTTCCTAGATGTGATTCTAAAGTAAGACTTACAGTATCTGACTTTTTTTTTTTTTCCTTTAGGAAACTATCTTTAATGTTGATTTACAAACCCAGGGAAGAATTATTTCTAACAAATCCCTAACAATCTTTTTGTAATATGGACTCAGCCTTCTGAGGTATTTTTGGAAAAATCTACAGCTCTGAACATCAAAATATTCTGCTTTCTCTGTGTCAAAGTGACACTATAGATCCCAAGATATGAATTGTTATTTACTGAAAAAGTTACGTGCATATAGCAATATTTTATAAAAAAAATGACAGTTCAGCTTAAGTTCTATGGTCCTACTCCTCAATCCTGATCTGCCTATTCAGCTCAGTCACCCCCCCCCCCAAAAAAAAAAAAAGCATTCGGCAAACTCTTCAGGAAATGGGAATGTTAATTCTTCATCCAACAGCAGGTGATGCTGTTGCCATAGACAAACAGTTCTCATCTTCCTTAGAGAATGAGCACATCATCTGGTCATGCAGCCTGAGGGAGGATCCACATTACCA